CTACAAAGAAAAGATGCATATGTTGCACTGCCAGTGATGGCTCCAGATCCAGCAGGATTATGGCGCTCAGTCTTGACTGTGAACTGGTTTTGTTCATCACCAGGTCCAAAGACATCAACTTGCACAATATGAGCATTAAGACTAAATCGTAGAACAAAAGAAGAGGGAAGTGGATTTATAGCTATTGTACTCCTGTGTTCTTGAGGAAAGCACTTTACCCTCACAGTGTCTCTCTCTGCCCAGGAAAATAAAAAAAAATTGTCAACAAAACCTGGTGACAAAAAAAAAAAAAAAGAAAAAAAATATATGAACTTCATATATTCATTGTATCCAAAACCTGGTGAATTGCTGGGGGGTAACCTAGTGTTCATTGGAGGGGGGGGGAAAGAGTGATAATATTCCTGAGGATCTGATAAAGTGGGCAACTTGGCTTGAGTACTGTGTTTATTGACTTAATTTTGTTGATTGGCCATTACTTCCCCGGTCTATCCTAATTTCCACAGCAAAGAGACAATAGAAGTATGATTAGAATACTTTAAAAGATTTCAGGACAACAATGCATTAAATTTTGAGAAAAGAAGACCTTTAGATGCAACTGCCACAATGAAATTTATGATTTTTGGAATGGGGTTGCTTTTAGGAGGAAAAACTGTAATTCTTTTCAGGCCTGGAATATGAGACAGTTGTAAAGAATATTTAGAACAAAATGATTCAACCAAACTTGCAAACAAGAACTATTTCCATAGGCCTGCAATACACAAACATTTTCATAGAGTTCGATCAACCCAACCTGAAAAATCTCAAATAATTTTTCAATGATGGCTTTATCCCTGGAAGTATTGATAATCCATCCGATCCCACATATACTTTAGTAAGGTCATTCATCCAATTAAAAAGTTAATTTGATCTTTCATTCTTACAATAAAACACTGATTACATCTTGCCTTGGATCAGCCACAACGCATCCTTGTGTCTTGTCAAATCCCAGATTGTGAGCTGCTAGTGCTGCTGCTGCCATTGTGTTCACATTGTTTGGGGCTAAAGGACAAAGTTCACGAACAGGGCCTGCAAGGAAACGGACAGAACATTTGAATAAAAATTAATGTAAAAAATTTAGATTGTAAAGATTATCCTCAAAATATTCCCTTTTCCGCCTCCCTCGCTTGCCACCAGCTCACACCTAGCAACCAATTCATTTATAGCACTGCAGGATGCACATTTCTTCACCCCCCACAAAGATTTGAGACAAGTGGGGAGACATTTCCCTGCCTCTGTCACTAATTATCAGTGCTTGACCTCTTGCTGAACTCTTGCTGGCTTGCATTACTCAAGGTGTCATACTTCCCTTTGGGCAAAGAAATGCTTGTTCTAAAACACTTATAATGATGGCCTCACAAGTTACCAATTTTTTACACCCATCTTCCAATAAATGGGCTAATTAAGCCTTTCAGGGTTACTCTTTGAAAACAAATGTTATCTAAAATGAAAAAAGAGAAAAAGACTCTATGCAATTATTCATACTCTCCACGAATCTTTGATTTTATAACGGAAGCACCAGAGACAAGAATGCACTAACTTCTTAACATTTTGAGAAATATTTATGTCCTTTGATTGTCTTAATTGGGATTGAATCAGAAAGCCAAAAAATCATGCCTCTAATTTGAAAAAAAAACAAAAAAAATAGCTGTATTTGAGATGACTGCTAGACAGTGTCTAATCAGTTTGGGTAATATGATATTTATACACATTTTATAAAACCTACCATCATATAGTACAACAGGTTCTGTGTTCACCAGCTCATTCCTTGACTTGAGGGGCTCATTCAATTTAAAACAAGATGGGTGCTTTTTCATTGTTACTTTCAGTCCCTGAAATAGCAATTAAAATTTACTAGTATATGCGTAGTAAATGTAATCATAAAAAATAAATAAATAACTATAGATTTCTTAAAGAAACATTTTTTACTTACAGCTCCAAACAATAGATAGCAAGAGAGAAATTGAAGAATTTTTTCTTTTTTTCACAATCCCTATTCTTATGCATTCTTTATTCTTATTTACAAAAAGATAAAAACAAGGGAGCCAGCATGAACTAACATAAAATATTAAGCAAACTGCTTCAAGTATAGGAAAACACAGGTGGCCAAGTTGCAATCTGTCTTAATTTTGCACCTGATTTCTTGAAATCTGGCAAAAGTTTTCTATACCAATCAAAGAGTATTGTGAAGTAAAACCAAAGTAATCCTTGATGTCGACACCAAACTTGGTAATTGCTTTATTAAGTCTGAGGAGTCTAAGATGTTCTCCACAGAGAACTTTATTTCTAGCTGCTTGGCTCCCCTTTCATTTTCAATGTAGAGGAGTGACGCTTTATTTTATTTCACCCTTTACCCCCCTAAGAGTGATCAGCGTCATATTTCTCCTTACAATATCACCCTTACATCAAATGTAAAGGTCATGAGAGTAAAGAAAATGATCACCAATTCAAGATAATGCGATTGCCGATGACGTTCTCCTTGTCGGTACCATAGGAAAAATAAAGAGAACAGTATTGATAATATGAATATTAATGTTAGAGTGTAAAAAGTATTATGTCAATAAACACCTTCAAAGTCCCAATATCTGCCATTTTCTTGATATCAGCACCACCCCAAAGAGCACCACTAGGTATATAAATCCCATAGCTACCACTGGAAGCCTTCCATCTCAAACGCTTTTCAACATCTGAGTTTGCTAGAGCAGTTGGAGAACCTATCTAAAAATAAACAAATAGAATTAAAATACTTAATATTTAGTTCCAACAAAATACACATCTAATATTGGACTGTCTAACTTTCCTTAATTTCTTGCTGCTTAACCTTCTTATTGGTAATTCTCCTAACTGTCTGCCATATGATTCTTAGGATGTTAGTTGGGAGAATTTGGTATTGGAACAAATAATAATCCCCAAGTTAATATTTTTCCTTATTCTCATGACCTGTCTGCTTTATTTTGCATTGATATTGTGAGGAGAAATTCTGTCTTGGTCATTTACAGGGTTAAATAGCTCGAGCTCTTATGTCTGCTGGAAAAATATTAGAGAGAGCCAAAAACAATTCTTGGTACAGTGTGGAGTATTAAATCAGTGCCACATTAAGAGACAAAACACCATAATTAGAGATGGCAACTGATAAAATAAAACATAAAAATATTAGTTCTATACCATATAATCAGCAACATCAAGGAATGATTCACCAAACTCTACTGTTATTGAAGGATGTGCCACCTCGACAATCAAATCAGGAGTCCTGCACAACCAGAATGCCAATAAAAGTATTTAAATGAAAATGTGTACCAGGATCTGATGTATGTCAGATAAAAATCATTAGAAGAATTTGATTAATGAAAAACTGCTTGAGCATCAAATTAACAAAATCTGATAAATCTTTAACCTCAAGCTATGTCCCTTAGTGTTCTCCAGCAAGATGAAAATGTCTATCTGATAACTTTGAGTATTCTTATCACCTGTTTGTTAGATAATGTATGGATATTTGAGGGATAATTTACATGTTAATCACTTCTGGGAGGTAATGGGTTAAAACAAGATTCTGTACTGTTTAGGTGTATAATTTATACTTTTCTGAGGGATTTTCCCTTTCTAAACAACACAATTCATTTTTAGGAAAGATACCGTTTTTCAATTGACGATAAATCATCCAGAATATAGCGATCATCTACTTTGTTCCTGAGAGCTTCAGAAGTTCTGTTCCACACAAAACTGAGCTCAAGATCATTTCTCTTTAATATTTCCTCCACTAAATATTTTCCTACCAGAGAAAAAAATTGGAAAATATGTGTGTGTTGATTAATTACTCAACAAGGAAAACACTTCACTTAAAAGCTGTCTAAAAGAGACTTGCACATGGTATGGTTCTACTGCATAGATCTGAGCTACAAATTTCATAGCTAGTTCTGTGCACAGTTAAGCAGAATGCTCCACTGATCGTGATCTGGTGAGGCTGAGATATCTCATATGTGAAGCAAACTACAAAAAAAGA